TATTTATATATATAAAAAAAATGAAAAAAAAAACTGTTTAATTATTTCCAGATACTCTCGCTGCACGCTTTCATACTGACAGCGCTTTACGAAAAACCACAGACTTCGAGTAAAATTAAACCGAAAAAAAAAACGTTTAAAAAAAAAACTCTTTAAATATATATAATCAAACTTGTGTTTCTTATCTATAATTCGCTATAACTGATTTATAGGGAATATCGGAAAAAGTCTTAGAAAACCAAACTCGAAAAGAGTCAAAAAAAAAAACAATTTTTTTCTTTAATTTATTCAAGTTTTGGAAATTCACCCGCTTACCTAATTTTCTTTTTAAATCTTTTCAATTAGCGAAAAATGGAAGCAAATAAAAATAACGTTTTGCAAAAAAGTGTGGGCCGATACGAAGATGAAATTCTGTCCACAGTGGATTCCCGGCCTTATGCGCGAACAACAATAACCAATATGACAAGCTCTCAAAAATTTACATCCTGCCATGAACTGTTGTCACAGTCTGTTGCTGAGTTTTCGACAAGTGGATATGAATTCCATCTCTCTGACGAAGAGTTAATCGAATGCTGCACGAAAGCGGAGGATGCAATGAAAGAAGTGAAAAATGCAGAGGCTCCCGAAGAGCAAGATGTGGATGTAGTGTTTGAGAACTTTCCAGATGACAACAAAAAAAAAACAATAGTTGAAATAATATTTGAGGACTTTTCTACATCGCCTTTTAACAGTCCTGTAGCATCACCCGAGAGTAAATTAAGAAATTTGGAACGGTCCCCTTTATATTTTTTACGCGAAAAACCCAAGAAAACCTACAGTCGCGAATTCAGAGAAAAGGCAAAATTGGCTCTTTTGTACGATTCTACGCCAGGAAGTAAGTAGCTCTTTATAAGCTTTTTTTAAAAACTCTAACTTTCTAAATTCATTTTAGGAGAAGATTCAGACCGTGGTTATATCGAAAAAGAAGACACATACAACGCAAATGAAAGTAAGTTGTTTTTAAAATCCGCGATGAGACAATATTTAAATTAATCCAAAATTTTTTAGATCTAGTACCATCTAATCAGTATAAAAGCAACAATTACGATTGGGATGACGATGATGATGACATTTTTGCTTCCATAAGCACTCAGGAAATCTTACATGAAGACGTTCAAAAGACGTGCAAAGAAGTAAAATTGGACGAATTAGCTCCCAGCACAAGCAAATTTGCAGCAGCAGCAGCTGCTCCGCGCCGTAATTGGCGTCCGCTTTCATTAAACCCAAAATTTAACGGGCCAATAAATGAGCAGATAGCCCAGGGTATGATATTCCTCATATTTCATTATGCTTTCATTATTAAAATCCGCGATGAGACAATATTTAAATTAATCCAAAATTTTTTAGATCTAGTACCATCTAATCAGTATAAAATATACAATTGCAATTGGGATGACGATGATGATGACATAAGCTCTCAAGACGTGAAGATGAATAATTCATTTTCCATTAACAATTTTCCCCATACGTCTAAGTTCCCAGTAAATAAGCAGATAACCCAAAAAGCTAGCGGAGAACGGCCGGAGTTGGGAGTAGATAAAGACGCAGTTGGCGTAAGTGAAATTTCTAATAAAAACGAAACGGAAGAAATGAAAAGGAAAGTGAATCGAGATGAAGTGGGCAAGGTGAATAATCCGGAAAGTTCGCTTGTTTCTGCTGGTTTCCAAACAGCGAATGGTAAAACAATCTCCATATCGGAAGAGAGCAAAAAATCCGTGCAAAATATTTTAAGAGAATTTCAAGACAATTTGCAAGAAACGAATTATGAAACTGAACTAAAAGACATAAAAGCTCGAATGTCGATTAAAAGTATGCAGTCCAAGTTTGGAAAAACTGGAAACAGCAGTGGGCAAATAGCCCAAAAAACACCCTTTGAAGCGATGTGCAAAGAAATAAAATTGGACGAAGCTCCCAGCAACAGCAAATTTGCATCAGCTGGTCCAACGCTGTGTCGCAAAAGGCTTTTATCATTGTCATTAAACCCAAAATATAATTATAGGCCACCCCCCCAACTTTGTGAGACACCGGAAAGAACCTCGCGACAAATCGAGACTACGACTAGTACACCAGGCGTCAATAGACCAAAGGCTCTCGGGCTTAAGTCGTAATTATACTAGTTCAAAGAAATAAATACGACTTTATATTACATTGTGTAAAAGCAACGGAACTGGTTTTTTTGAATTCAAAAACGTGCCGATATCTTTTCTCATTAAAATTACTTTTGCTATTTTTTCGCATTTTATTTAATTAATGACATTTCGATGTATTTTAAGAACTTCCAAGTGGTAAAAAACGATCGGTTCCCTACGATATTGCTTTACAAAAAATTTTTACATACCACACATGTGGTTTCAAATTATTGTTTCTTGATGGATATTAAGAAAATTAATTAGTTATATGTAATATGTAATATCTGATATATTTTTGTGTACAAATTGATCCATAATTTGGCAACGACCATTTACCACTTTAATAAAACAATTTGATTAATATATTTCAACTTTAAAATAAATGGCTTTTATTGTTTGTTTTTCATAACATTTTGAATTTTGAATTTGCTGTGATTGCTGCATACTGACATAATTCTTTTTTTTCATCTTTTCGACTTCCCCTAATTTTTCCATATGGCAGTAAACAAGCGATTGCGATACATTCAACCATTTCGCTAAAATATTTAATTGAAAAGAATGCTGTCAAGAGCGGAAGAAGAATGCAATTCGGCAAACAAATTTTTAACTGAGCACTTATTAGCACTTTCATAGATTTTCATAGCGCGCTTTTTCAAGATAAGAAGTTATATGGGAGCTATTCGAAAAAGTGTGGCCCTATCCAAACCATTTTCAATAGGGGACGTACTTGTGGCATAGCACGTCAGTGTAGCAAATTTCGCCAAAATTACCCAAAAATTCCAATCTATAGGTTAGAAAACTAGAGTACTTGAACAGAAATCAGACGGACAGACAGGCAAACAAGCTTAGAAAGTGATACTAAATCGATCGAGTGGAACTTCCCCCAAGTCCTTCTACTTGTTGTGTTCATTCCCAGAAACTTAATATGTCTTGTAGTGCACGTGTCCTAGATGAGAGAGAGGGAGAGAATTATCAATGCAAGAGTAATAAAGCCGTTCCTGGAAAGACAGAGCACGATGCTAACCCTTGAAAAGTTCTTCCAAACATAATCCAGCGTTGCTGCAATGAACAGGGCAAGAGTATGTCCATATTGACGACACGTCTTTCTTTGCAGTTTTGTATTGTTAGCTCTTTGGGAGATTTCTGTTTGATGATAGCTTACTAGTGGTATGGTTGATAGATAATCTCAGGTATTTATTTTCAATTAATTTATTTGAATTCTTCAGGCGATGCCTATCCCAATATTTTCATTGAGTTCACTTTTAAGCTTTTCAATTTCATTTTCTTAGACATCTTTCCCACTTTCCTGAGCAATCTCATCGAGTGCATATTGATGAATACCTTTGTCCGCAATAGTAAAATTTCTCATTCTTTTTCTTTTCTGCCATCACTTTTGTTATCGCTGCGTATTTTCTTCATTCCTGATGGGCCTGCCTTTGAGTCTCTAACGTTAAATTGAAGCCAATGTCAAGTTGTTTGTTTACATCCTTCACGCCATAGGATACTTTCTTGTTTCAAACCAGTCTTATCTCGACGGCTGCTTTCTCTTTACTTATTTAGTGCTGCAATTCAATATCTTTGCACGCAGTGTGTTGACTAACCATCCAATAATCCCGACATAATCTTTAGTAAACAAAAGCAATGATTTTGTTAACAAAGAATAACTTGTGCGTAATCGTGTGTTAAAATATCTTTACATATTTATATAAGAGATGCACGAGCGCTTTCTTGTATGTATGTAAGAGATGACAAGAGTAATTTTGGAATTTTTCAGACTAAAATTATGCGATGAGCTGATACAACATATTTCATTTATTCCCATCCTTTGAATTTTTTAAAGGTGCTGCCTGCCGTATACAAATTCTTCGGTCATAGTTATCTTTGCAAAGCGTTGTGAAAACGAGAACAAAATTAATTTCACTTTAAATCATAGCTATTGCTAATAAGAGTCAAACAGGGATTTAATCTCTGACTGCATGACTTGCCTTTAGAGGTTCAGTTATAGTTTTGGCACTTGCGAGTTGCATTAAAACTCTGCGCAGATGCCTTAATTTGCTTCGTTTTCTTCATCTCAGCTGTTCGCCAAAGCAAAAGTAGAAGGTCTTACTATCTATCAGGTTCAAAAATTACAAATCAATTAGCTTCTCATGGCCTGGTGTTCTTAATGGAATAGAATATAAGAATATATATATCACTACAGAAAAGTGTAATGAAAGAGAACCGCTTACCAATTAATATCAAAAATGTCAACGCCTAGCAGCAGGACAAGCGATTAAAAAGAAAACTAAAGTCCAATTTCTCTCCCTTCAGTTCTCACAAAATTTATCAGAATTTTTACATCACATACGCCGTTTCTCAACACTTATGAAAACATTTTGTCTTTTCATAATGGGGCTAATCACTCAGTGTCTTCAAAACCGTGGGCAAAAAAAAAGATAGCTAGGTGGTGGCCCATCAGTAGTTGTAGCTTCTATTGGATGGAAATTCACTATTGTCACGACCAAAAGGTTGACTTAAACCGCGCAGAGACTGACTTCATAATGGTTATTCTTAACTACTTATCTGGATAGTAATAGCAACTGGGGTTTTAATTTATTTATTTATCTGTTTATTTATTTATTCTACTTATACAAGAAACTCATCGCGTGTTATGCTGTTATTTAATGAATGTTGGGTAATTACTTGATTGGAGTTCTTGTGAGCTGGTCTTGATTTCCTTACTCGCGTGAATCGATTGGTGGCTGATCTGCAGTGTTTTATTAAATCCTAAATTTGCGAGTTAGGAATACGTGTCTGAAGTGTGAGTAATGATGGGCCCCCATTTTCATTTTGCTATATATGAGCTCTTATGGCACGGGAGTAGCCAAAAACTTGTGAACTAATGTAAGCATGACGAATAGCTAAGGTGCGCCCGTCCTTCTGCTCGGTATATTCGACAATTTCATCAACTTTCTGTAAGAAAAATTTGTTATTCCCCGGTTTACAATGCTTTGAAGCGAAGTGAAAAACATACCATAATTTTTTTCATGCCAATGTTTCGCGTGAATGTGGTTAAAGTTTTGTTCTTCGGATCCAAAATAGAATCTTCAATTATTTTAATTGGAGTATTTTTATAAAAACGCTCACCCCATTTAGGCACATGATTAGTTTTAGAGAGTAAGGTTTTCTTTGAGGTTTAAAATAAGAACAAGGACATATGCGGCGCATCGCACAGACTCGTTCAGTTTGGTGTCATAGCCGTCTAGGTAAGTACCCTCAGACAATTTAACAAGTTGACCTGTACGAAGAGTTTTTTTTGACTTAACGGATAGGGGATGAGCTGGTTCAGCTTTAATCGCCATCCCTGAAGGACTTTCAGAACACTGACTTAACGGATAGGGGATGAGCTGGTTCAGCTTTAATCGCCATCCCTGAAG